ATTCCAATAAAGGCTGCCTTTGGCATAAAGCTTTAAAAACATGGTAAGGGTCATTCCCATTTGGAAAAAGTTCAGTTTTTATCCTTTTTTTTTCCTTTTCTTTTTCTTCATCTATCAAAGGGCTTTATCTCTTTATTCCCTCTAATATTGGTGTATATTTGAAGTCATACAGTGATCACAACAGTATATGCTATTTAGAGTCTGTCAACAGAAGTCAGAGAGAGCAGGAGGACAGTAAGGCTTTATTTTACCACCATTCATCAAAGTTCTGGCAGACTATTCTGTAGAGACAGGAGAGCAGTGACAACTCCGAGATCCTTTGCCAAGCTAAATAGGACTTCCACGGAAGCTCGGGTGTCCTCACCCTCCCAGGCAAGGAGAATCAACAGATGCACAGCCCTGGACAAGTCAAGCTCTGAACTCACAGAAATGCTATCTTACACCCTTCTAGCCTAGTATTCTGACTCTAGAGAGAATACCTACACACATTTTATGATACAGAATGACTCCAAAACCCTTCCTGAAATCTGTGATTCCCAGTGGAGAATGATCATATCCAAATAACTATGAGAGCCTTTTCAAACCACATCTGTCCAGAAGCAGTTCTTTTTTTTTTTTCTCCAGGGAGAATCAGAATCTCCAGAAAAGGACTGGGGGAGTCCTTGCAAAAGCTCCCTGCTGCAGTACTTTCATAGTTGGGGGAGTGCCTGTGCACACACATGAACCTGCAAGTGCACACACATAGACACACACATTCTCCCCCTGCACAAAACCAATGCCCTAAGGAATCCTAATACATTATCCATTCAACCATCTGAACAGCCTGAGAACTTATTCAGTCACCCCACCCTTCTTCATCTAGGGAGCAGAATGTCAATTATGTGTCAATTAATATGGTAATCAAAGGGCATCTAGAAACTTTAGAGGCTTTGTTCTTCTGAAGAGTTGAGCTTTCCAAATAGCTAAATATCTTCCCATGTAAGCACCAAGCCTTTTTTCCCTCAAAATAACATGTCAAAAATTCTGGACATTAAACTCTCTGAAATTTTACTGCATGTATTTAGTTTCCTGAATATAATTTAGCCTCACCTTCATAATTCAAGGCTCTTATCATGAGCACTGATTTCCATACTGGGGCTGGAAAAGGGAGTTTACTCCTGAAGGCTGCAAAGGCCTCCAAATGGCTGCTAAAGGCAAGTGGAAGGTCGGAGAACAAGCCAAAAATGGGACTCCAGAAAGACACCACAGTAGACGTCAGAAGGCCAGGTGGGATGCCATAGGTATAAGGACCGGCTGGGTGAGTTCTAAACAGGGTAAGACTTAGCGAAAGTGTCCGCAACAAGCATTGCATTCATTCTGTGACCTGACTTTCTGGGTAGCATCACCAAGGTGCATGGGCAAAAATCTCGAGTCTAAAGCATCATATGCTCCCGTCAGAGTATCTCCCTCCAGCCCTCCCCTTCTAATTCAGTGCTTCTAATTTCCTGTGGTTCTAGAGATAACCAATCTTGTCACAAGTGAATAAAGGGCCAAAGACTGCCTTTCTGGTAACTCAGCTGTCTATGTATTTTGTGTCTTCTGTTAGGGTGTTCAGGAATCTCTGACTGACTTCCTAGACCTTGGCTGTGTTTCAGGAGGTTAGACTGCTGCCCCGCTGAGTTCCAGATAGATAAGGAGTTGTTTTCTTCTTCACTTTTCCCCTAAAATTATCTCCTTCCAGGTTCCTGTGTTCAGTGACAGTGAACCCGCCCACACTCCCCCTCTTCTTAAAACATGCTTCAATCTTTGGCTGTACCTTTTCCACCTGAAGACTCCAATCTGTGGATCTTATGGCCCATGGGATGGGGGCAGCAGGTGCTGCAGTAACTCTAAGAAGGTACACATCCTCTAAGAAATCACTAAGGACCTCTAAATTACCAGCCTCAAGGGACACATCCCTTCCTGGAGGTGAGATGGCCTCTGTGAGTAAGGCAAGTGATCAGTAATTCCACTATCAGAGGCCACTCCTCAGAGCACCGGGCCAGGGGCCAAAGAATGACAGCTTATGTTACAGGCAACAAAATGTAAGAGATCAGGCAATTGAAACAGGGCCTAGGAGAACAATCCATGATGCTATTGTCCCTACAGAGAGACATGTGTGAGCGACTTAACTGAAAAAGAAGAAAAAAGAGAACAAGGAATCATATTCTTGTTTTTGTTGTTTGGAATCACCTTGCAATCTACCTGGCTATCCTTGATCTAACTTCTTTTTCAGAGAACCAGTCTTTGCTTTCTTTCCAAACATCAATCCACCTTCTAGCTGGCCTACTTTCTCTTATTTTTCTTCTATTCGAGCTGATACTGAGGCACAGACGGAGAGAAAGCACAGTGTGTGGTGAGAAGTGAGCATCTGGGAGTCACAGCTGGATTGGTATCGCCACCCTGCCACTTTCTGACTGTGTGATCCTGGCCAAGTGACTTACTTTCTCTGTGACTCAGTGTCTTTCCCTGTGGAAAGGAGAAAGGGCACAGTAATAGAAAGAATACCTTAAATGGGTGAATGTGGGGTCAAAAGGCACAAACTTCTCTTGATAAGATAGATAAGTCCCGGGGGGTTAATGTACAGCATGGTGACTATAGCTAACAATGTCGTGTCGTATATTTGAAAGTTGGTAAGAGAGTACATCTGAAAAGCGCTCACCACAGAGGGAAAAATGTGTAACTTTGTGAGATGATGGATGTTAACTCAACTTACGGTGGGAAACACTTTGCAGTATGTACATCTATCAAATCATTATGTTGTTCACCTTAAGCTAATATAATGTTATATTGCAATTATATTTCAATAATTTCTGGAAAAGAAAAGAACACCTCATCATGCCAGCTTCACAGTATAGCTGTGGGTATTAATGGAGACAATACTTGTAACATGTTGAGCTCCAGTACCCAGGAAGCTGACTGTGATACTATCCTAGGGGACAGGAAGTAATGGCTGCCCTCACGGTGCTCTCAGAACATGCATTAAGATTTGAAGCTCTCCAAACACTAAGTCCTTGCGGATTCATTTTAAGCAGTAAGAATTATTTTTCATGAACACACATGTAAACTAGTACTTGAAGACTCTTTTCAAAACTTTAAAACTTATTGTCTGTGGGACGCCTGGGTGGCTCAGTCGGTTAAGCATCTAACTCTTGGTTTCTGCTCAGGTCATGATCTCACAGTTCATGGGTTTGAGCCCCGCATGGTGTGGAGCTTGTTTGGGATTCTCTCTCTCTCTCTCTCTCTCTCTCTGCCCATCCTCTACTCATGCGCTCTCTCATTCTCTCTCTCAAAATAAATAAATACAATTAACAAAACCATATTCTCTGCAATCTCATACACAACATTTATTACTATGGTAATTCCCCATTTTCATAATAAACACAAAGAAGATTCTCATCCAAATACTGAAGTTTCCAAGTGCTTAGAATCCAGAACATCTAGAGGTTTCTGCATACAGATGCCGATTCCTTTCTTTTCCTCAAGTAAGCCCTCTCATTAGCCATGGAGTCGTACAGGCCTCCTCCTTAGCGTCGTGGTTCTCCTATCAGTTCTGAACACTTTTTGGCTTCCCCTCCCTCGAGTCTCTCCTCACCTCTCCTGAGCACCATCTATGCGGTTCCCTCAACAGGCCCTTCAAGACTGTTTTTGCACAGGTCAGTCCTCTGTCAAGAATGATCGTCCCTCATCCTGTTTCAAAAGATACTTCTCAAGGCCCCCTGCTCTAGAGTCCACTCCCTGGTGAAATCTCTCCAACTCCGCTCTCTACACACACTGTTCATACGACACAATGACACACGTAAGTTCCCCAGGCACCGGTCTGCCTCCATCCCCAGACTCGGGGCTTTTAGACCAGTGCTTTAATATGTACGGATCACCCAAAGGCCTTGTGAAACACGTAGGTTCTGTTCCACATTTTGTGCATTCTGGTTTGGTGAGTCCGGGATGGGGCCTGAGATGCTGCTTCCCTCACAGCTTCTAGATAATGCTGATCTAGTGCCCTGCAATCCCCTTGAGAAGCTTTTAGGAACCTGAAATGTCAGTGACTTGGCACTTCTCCATCATCATCATCATCATCAACAACAGCATCTTTTAACACAGCTGCCCAGCAACTGTACTTAAGGGAATGAAAGAGATGTCAGAGTCGCCTGAAATAATGCAGGTGAGGGGCAGACAGAGAATGGGGACAAGGATGCACTGGAGAGAGTGGGCAGAATCAGAAAAGGAAAGGAGTCAGAATGAGTTTAGTGAAGAGGCAGGAGACAGCAAAGAGAGGAAGAAAAGGAAGTGAAAAACTACAGGAAGAGAGACGATAATAGGAAGGAGGGAAAAGGAAAAAAAAAAGGAGAAAACGATATCCATAGGATGAGAAAAAGAAGGGGGCGCCTGGGTGGCTCCATGGGTTGAGCATCCAACTCTTGTTTTTCTCTCAGGTCATGATCTGAGGGTTGATAAGCTCCAGCCCACATCAGGCTCTGCACTGACAGCATGGAGCCTGCTTGGGGTTCTCTCTCTGCCCTTCCCCCTCTCATGCTCTCTCTCTCTCTCTCCCTCTCAAAATAAATAAATAAACAAACATGAAAGGAAGAAAGGAAGAAAGGAAGAAAGAAAGAAAGAAAGAAAGAAAGAAAGAAAGGAAGAAAAGAAAAGGAATGCCAGCTAACTTCTTCCCTTGGGGTGGAATTGAATCTACATTGTCTGACTTTCCAGATTGAGGGGTGGACTTCTGGACGCCATCCCTCCCAAGGGTGGGTACTCCAGCCATTTGTGCCATTGAAGAAGTGCACTCAGACCTCCATCACTTCCTTCCAAAAGTTCTTCCTTCCAGACTGACTGTGGAATGAGCTGTCATTGGCAGAGTAATAGCAAATGAGAGCCTCTGTCAGGATTGTGCATGTACAGAGTGGTTGATATCAGCTCAGAAAATCTATGACCAAGACTTCACACTGATTTTCCACCAAAACAACCCCCACAAAAGTTACCTGATACAGTTCGATCCTTTGTTCGGGCACTCTGGCCTTCGGGTTCTGTAAACGAAAGACTCTGAACTCCGCTTTCACCAAATTGGATGCATTCTTCTCCATCGCTGAGACGTCAAATCGGACAATTCTGAAGTAAGGTCTGTAGAAAGTGGGCGGGATGGCATCTGTAAAAAGTTAGGGCGATCATTGAAAATGATAAAATCCATTGTTCTCTCAAAAAGACTGTGCAGCATGAGATAGTCTCAAGAAAACATAAGGGATATATCTACAAGAACCATTTAGTTTCCAATGGCCAATTTAATACCGTTAACAATTTAACCAGAAAAAAAAAAAAATAAACATGTGCATGTGGTTACAGGGGCAGCAGATTAATAGAGATTAACAAACCACTTCCAACTCCATTTGAGGGCATGCAGTTAACCCTATCCTTTGAAAGTTGACAGCACAGTGGAAAATCCTAGATGGTTCTGAACTGGATCAAGATCTTGACAGTTGATACCTGGAGAGAGCTGTTGGGCTTGCATACACTGTAATCAGATGTGCCGAGAAAATAGCTCCTAATGGCCAGCAGTTTGCCCATGTATTTTTTTTTTTTCTTGAAGTTTTGGCATCCAAATACTCTACTCTATCCAGGTTCATGTATTGCCTCTTTTCTGTCTTCAATATTTTGGTTTTTCCCACACATATGACCAAATGCACCCTCTAGTTAAGTCAGGGTGAGAAAAATTGAATTCACAAAAACTGAACCCCCAAATTGGCTGTATCAGGTCCAATCTTAAAATTCTTCACTTAACATAACGTCCATTGGTGGGAGGGAATCCCGGCTAATGAAGGGAAAGAATCAGCCCCACTTGGTTCTCTTCTGAGCCATGGAAACCACAAAGATGCAGATGGCACACAACAATTTCAAGTTCATGGGTTGCTAGAGTTTCACTATTGTTTTGGAGTAATCTGCCGTTGCCTTTGAATGCACCACTGCACCGCACCAACAAAACCAACGGAGGTCCTAATTCTCTCCACGTGTTTCACACCCAGCACCCATTTATTGAGCACGTACACTGGGCAGCCCACGTGTTACAGATATTTCTATGATTTTCCTCTATAACCTTCTGCAAACGTTCTCTCATTATTCCGGAATGCTCCATCCAAATCTTGTAGTTCCATTACTTTCTACCCTACTTCTCAACTATGTAGCTTCATTACAACATAATAATTCACAGTTGTTTATGGCTTTTTACAAGTGCTTTTATTACTTCTGTGTTATGTTTGTTTATTTTGTTTCCCCCCAGGAAATTTTAAGAATCTTGAGGGCAGAGACCATATTTGTCAGGTCTTCCCTATTCCACATACCTAGGGCAGGGCCCTGCACACATGGAATTCACCAACTACCCACTGTTTGTATAGTTGGTCATCAATGGGAGTCTTGAAAGACTCAGGCATCTGGCTACTGGCAAGACTAACTTCTTATTAAATAAATGAGCCGTCTTGCCAATCTTAAAATAGAAATAAATACCTTTCGTGATTTCTTGGGAAATCCATGCCCTGACGATTACACTGGGAAAAAAAAAAAATGCTAGGAACACACCGACATTTGCTGATCTTAAGAGCCCAGCACTTTTTTCCCTCAAGGGGGCTTTCCCCCGTGCCCTTCCCCGCGTCCTGTGACTCTCAGAAAGCTGTTCATGGGGAGGCAGTGGACTCCAAGCCACGTTCTGCCCGATGACTGCTTCACACACGCCTATGTGAATTGAAGCTTTGTAGCTCGTGAGCCAGGAGCCTCAGAAACAAACAAACAAACAAAATAAAAACCCCAAAAATCTGAAGCATCCCGGTGTCAGAGAAAAGGAAGTATTCATGCAGACACAGTGATGGCCCGCTGCGTTACTACCGTGAGTTAGCTGGTGGATGGTTTTCAGGCAAACATTCATCCAGGCAGCCAGGATTTTGGAGCCCCCTAGCACTGCAATTTGAAAAGGTAGCTGCTGGGAAGAAATCGATCTTTCTCTCCTCTGGAGCATGCCCACCCCAGGTGACTGGGCAAGCTGGTACTGGCCTGACCAGCTCAGCTGAAAACCGGCCAGATGCCCAGGCAGAGAAGCTGGGGCGAGGCTGGAGCCAGGCTCTCTGGCTTTCTACACCCTCTAGTTTGGCCAGAGCCTTCCACAGGCCTAGTGGCTGCATTCTGCCTTCCCGTTAGACAGCAGAAGCTTCAAACATGCTTTGAAAGAGCATCCTGAAACAGCAAAGCTAATTCAGCGCATTTCCTGTCATTAGGAAGAATAAACGTCCTGGGTGTTCTCCCCCCGCCCCCACTCAGTGGAACCCCACAGGCCAGCTCTCCTTCCCCAACCGCCCATCTTTCACACCCACCCGCCCCAATCTTATCCTTCCATCAAGTTTGTAAATAAGTGCTCTTGAGATTTATTTTTATTCTCTTTTGTGTTTATTAAACTTTGAACCACTTTCTTCCCTTTCTGGTCTTCTGCCCGAACTCACTCTTTCTTTTTATGGCTGCTTTGGACCATGAGGTCAATTTTGTTTCTTCTTCTTCTAAGCAAATCGTCCAATGATCCTGTCCTAGGCTTTTGAGCTTTGAAGGGGCGTTTGCAAATATTTACAGGGGTAGCTTGATTAGTTAAGTGCAGCTGTTCTCTGCTCCCTATACGTTGGCAAACAGCCTTCCTCTCCTCTGGCTATTAAAACCAGTCATTTGTCTTCCAACTGCCTGGTAATACCAATCTGAGTGTGTTTTGTTTTGTTTTGTTTTGTTTTGTTTTGTTTTGTTTTGTTTTGTTGGTGCTTGATTGAGAAAGAGAAGGAGTCAATGCACCAGGTGACATGACGGCTCAGCAGCCCCCACCAACGACTCTGCTTTGCTCTTGTCACCACAGTGAAGGGACCAGGCCAGGAGGAAGCAGCAGCCTCCCCCACACCCCCTGCTCCAGCGCATGAGAGCACGAGATCATTCAGTAAAGATTGTTGACCAAAGAACTGACTACCGCTTCCAAGGGCCGCCTGCAGCTGTCCCCTGCTGTCATCTGCTATGGGTCACCAGCCCCCTGCCCGACAGAGGAACTTGAATGACTTGGCATATGTTTCTACAATTGAAAAAAAAAAAAAAA